AGCATAAAGGCAAATTAATAATGTTCTGGAAAACAGAACAGGAACACATCTGCATGACTTGAGGCGAGGGCGGGCATCCCCAGCAGCACACAGAAGGCGCTTCCCAGCAAGGGAAACACTAAGACTTTTATTCCACCAAATTAAGAACTTCTGTTTACCCAACCACTCCGCTACAAGAGGGGAAAGGCCACTCACAAGGGAGGGAAATTTGTAAACTTGCTGCTGACAGAGGGCTCCCACCACATTCAGAAGCCATGCAGGAACCATGAACCAATAAGAAAGAGACAGTTTTTTAAGTAGTTAAAAGGATACTTCACAAAAGAGGAAATCAGGTGGTCAGTAAACACACAAAAAGATTCTCAGCCTCCCTGGTCATCAGGAGAATGCAAATGGAAACCTACTGAGACCCCTGCACACGTCTGCCAGAATAAAATGATAAAGCCCTACAATACCAAGTGTTGGCGAGGATCCCAGGCAAGGGGAATGGGTTGACAGAGCTAGTTTGAAAAATAAACTGAAGACCTGCATGGTCAAAAACATGGCCACACTAATCCATGCCTCTCTGTGTGTGTGTGTGTGTGTGTGTGTGTGTGTGTGTGTGTGTGTGTGGCATCTAGCAGCATAGGTTTCTGTGCACTATGAGGCATGTACAAGAGTGTTCATAACAACAGGATTTTTAATAGCTCCAAGCCAATGGTGGATAGATTTGGGCACAATGGATAAAGAAATCCCAAGCAATGAGAAAAAAAAAGAACCATCACAATATAAAAACATATTTTAAAAGAATACAAGCAATAACATTAGACACCACACTGTATAATAAGCCATACTATGTTGTGTCCATTTTCATAAAGTTCAAGTGACAGGCAGATGGAGGGTGTATGAGGAAAATCTTTGCGCCTTCCACTCAACTTTTCTTGAACTCAAAGCTTTTCTAACGCACAAAATCCCATTAAATTATAAAAGAAAAGAGGAAAAGAAACAAACAGAACTACAACTTTCAGAATTAGGGATGCCAGATGAAAAACAGCATGCCCAGTTATATCTGGAGTTCAGATAAAGAATAAATGAATTTTGATGTACTCCTGTCCCACATACTGCATACTCATTCAAGAATTGTTCTCACCAGATCCAGGGGTGTATACAATAATCTCAGGAGGCTGAGGCAGGAGGGTTGCCACTTAGAAGCCAGTCTTAGCATCTTTGACTCTCAAAAATAAAAAATAAAAAAGAGCTGGGGTGCATTTCAGCCATAGAGCACCCAAGTCACACTGCCCTCACACCCACAAAAGCCAAGATTTAGGCTCAGGCTGTTTGGCTCCAGACCCACAACTTTTTCTTTTCTTTTTTTTTTTTTTCTTTTCTTTTTTTTTTTTTAAGAGGGGCAATGGGAGGGTTGTAAACCACTGGGCGAGGAAATCCCATCCGGATTTGCGACCTGGTACTCAGAGCCTGCACCCAGCTGCAGCCCCTCCCTTCTCCTCTTCACTGGAGCCTCTTGCCCTTGCGCTTCATTCATGTCGTGGGCACCTCCGGGCCTTAGCTCACTGTGGCCTCTGCTAAGAGGCTTCTCCCTGGGTCCCTCCCCAACCAGACATCGGGGCTGGGCCCCTGGGCCCCAGCAGCAGCCTCAGCAGCCTCTTCTCCCCTGCTTGTCCTTAGTGTTAAGCTCACTATACTCCAAATAACACACGGGCCTTGTCTAGGGCCTCATAAGCTGCGGGGCTCTCATTGAGCACCAGGGAGATGACAACTAGCTCTGGGTGCTCAGGGAAGCCTCCAGCCCCCAGCTGTCACCCTGTGGCAGAGTCAACCAGGGTACCCCACAAGTGTCCCAGATTCACTGTGTAACAACCACATTCCTCAGGGACCCTCCAGCCACACAGGCCCATGTATCCCAAACACCCATCTCTTCTAGCCCAGGAGAGCCGTTTGTGTCCCTCCAGGCTCAGGGCAGCCCATGTGCTCGGGGGAGCCCTCCTTCTCCACCCCACACCTTGAAGCGCACGTGGTCTCTCCCCCCTGGCTGTGCGCCCCACCACCACCCCTGTTAGCATGGGACATCCCATGGCCTTTGCCAGCTGGGACTCCAAGGGGCAGCTCACACCTCCAGGTGGAGAAAAGTGTTGTGGGTTCAACTCAGATGCCCCAAGAGCCTCGCACACTCATAGGCAGGACTGTGTACGGTGATTGGATCAGAGGGGCTCACGGCTCACTCGCTTTTAGGATGTGGGGTCTGGCTGGAAGATGTGACCACCAGGGGCGTGGCCTGGGCTGAAGCAGCTCCCGTCCAACCCCTCCCTTCTCCGGCTGCCTCTGGCCACCATAACACGAGAACCTACCATGTTCTTTCTTCCTTGAAGCCAACCAGCCATGGGCTGGAACCTGAGCCAACACAGACCTCTCCTTTAAAGTGCCGGTGCTGTGTCTCAGCAAAGAGACTATGACAGGTGGGGACAATAAATCAGTCCTCATGGGGCTGAGCACAAATTAGAGAAAATGGTCTGGAACCTTCAGACCCAGGTTCATCACATTGCAATTGCTCGGAAGTTGTTTGTTGCCATCACTGTCACCACTACCACAACTGCCACTCTTAATTGTCACTGCTATTGCTGTCTCCACCACCACCACCATCACCACCACCATCACCACCACCACCACCATCACCACCACCACCACACCATCACCACTACCATCACCACCATCACCACCATCATCGTCACCACCACCACCACCACTACCACCACCACCATTACCACCACCACCACCATCTCACAAACAACACCATCATCATCACCACCCCCCTTGCCTTTGTCATCTTTGTCAGCATCATCACCAGGTCTTTCATGGACACACCTCCCACCACCCAGCCAGGTAGGCTCAAAAAGAGACCAGATCGCTCTACATCGTCAGAGCCCAGCATGAGTTTGGTTTTCCTAAACATCTGCCACACTTACACCGTCAGCTAGGAATCTAGCATCCCTGACAATTCCAACTGCCTTTTCTTGGTCAGGCTGCCTGCCCCGTGACACCATGTATGTGATATCAGAACACAGATATAGAGAAGGACCCACATGCTCTAGGACAATGGCTAAAAGCCAGAGCCAGCCTGCTTGGGTTGAAGCCCAGCTCTGCTCCTGTATGGCTGTGCGGCCTTTGGCAAGGTCCTCAGCCTGTTTGTGCCTAGCGTCACGAGCTCATTTTCTGATCCTCATGATCCGGAGCTCCTATTCCCACCACTCCACTCCCGGGGCACTCAGCTCAGCTCTGTGCCCCAGCCTCACGAGGGGAAGAGCCCCCATCCATCTCTGTCCCTCTTGGAGGGGCACCCACCACGCTCACCATGGGGAGCCGTAGATCCGGAAGCCCCGCACGGTGACCTCCGAGTCCTGCAAGTAGATGCAGTTGGTCAGCAAGGACTGCACGTTCTCGTAGTTCTCGGGCTTCAGCTTCGACACAGATGGGAAGTAGTAGAAGTCCTGCTTGATGAGGTCGGCCATGAACTCCTGGTCGAAGGTCAGCTCGTGGTTGCCAGCGATCACGATCTTGTACTCGTAGGGCAGGCTGCCTGTGGGTAGACATGGACAGACACAGCACCCGTGGTTGGCCCTGCAGAAGCCACGGCACTGTGGAGCAAAGGCGGGCAGTGGCATATGGGTCCAAGGAGGAGCAACCAATCACTGTCCCCAGGGCCTTGTGCAGTTTAAGAAAAATCTCAGTACCCCCGGGATAAATGGGGTCAAAACACACACAGCTCCCACTGGAATTCCATCCTCGCTCTGCGGTGTGCAAGTCCTGGGTGACTCCCGCAGGCTGCACACCCTCCCTGCCTCCCTCCCTCACTCTCTCTGTTTCTCCCTCCCTCCCCGCCTCCCACAGGGGGATGCAGACAAGATGCCCTAAGCAGGACAGTGCTTGGCCTCAGGATGACCTGGACAAGGCCAGACCCTTGCAAGCCCAGGGCTCCCCCAGCCCCAGCCCCAGGGACCGCCACCGGCCCCACACCTGGCGGCATCCAGAGCTCAGATAGGATCCTGGGCTCCCCAGCCTGTGCCCCTAGCTCTGGTGGGCTCAGAGACAGCTGCAATGGTCCCAGGGTGGATCCAAGTGAACTCAGAGTCCTCTTAGCTGCTCCCAGGTAGAGAAGGCCCCCGGGTCAGGGGAGGATACGTGAGGATATGGCATCCACTCAACCAAAGGATACAAAACCTGATTTTTTAAAGAGTAGATCCAGAGATGCTAAACTAGACAAACCCCTGTGCTTTAGCAGGAAAGGCACCCCCCTCCCCCCCCAGTCTTTAACAGCTGAGACCCATCCCAGGGGCCTCCTGGAGCACACAAATGTGTCTTGCATGGCACTGAGCTGGACTCTCCTATCTTCCCATTATGCAGATGTGCAAAGTGAGGCAGGCAGAAGGGGAAGAGCCATTGCTAACAACGCCTCGGCTACCAGGGAGCCACACCTCACATCATATTCACTTTATTCCTGAGTGGCTCTGAGCACTACAAAGTCTTTCAGAGGGCGGTATCCCTGGATTTGGAGCCAGCTGACCTGAGTTCAAGTTCTGGCTCTGTCTCTCAACCAGGAAGTCACTTAGCTTCTCAGAACCTGGTTTCCTGCTGACCAGGGTGGGTGTGCCAGGGGCTGAGGATGCTTTCTGCGCCTCGGGCTCCACCACGCACCTTCTCGGCAAGGCCCTTCCCTCCTCCCGCTCCTCCCGGGTGACGCAGTGTCTGTGGCCAGGGATTGTCTGACCTCCCAGACACTGATGGGACCAGGCTGGAGGGCACAGGATGACACTCAGCTGCTGCAGGAATTCTGGGCAGAAGCCCCTCCCCCGGCCCCTAAGGAACCCTAAGGGTTCTGCGCTGGACTTGCAACCCGATGCAATGCCATGAGCTGGAGCCGTGACCACCACTCCATTCTCAGTGCAATGGGACAGAAGAGTCCAGAAACCAGGGACAACCTTCACATCTACACGAGCGTCAGCCACAGGACCCACAGCCACAGCAAAAGGTGCTGGATGACCGCCAGTTACCAGGGGCCACTGAGGGTGGGCCAGGCTGGTGGGTGGGGCAGAAAGCCACAGTCTGCCCCTGGTGGCTCAGACGCCCCAGGCTGCTGCACAGCTGAAGCAGCTCTGGGAAGCCGTGAGGTCATGGCAGGCCATGTCTCTTGGCTGTAGTCACCTGGGTCCCCAACCCAGCTCACCACTAACTTACTGTCCAACTCAGCTCCCTCAGGACTCAGTGTCCTCACCTGTAAAATGGGAACAGCAACACCTTCCTTACCCTTGCCAGTCCTGGGATTACAGAAGATGCTAAAAGGAAATGCGCAAAAACTTCTGGGAAAAATGTCAGCTTCCCCTAATTTGCAAACCGGCAGCCTGCCGGCCAGACCAGCCCACAAACGTGTTTTGTTTGGCATAATGGTCTTCTAAAAAACTGAATTTGTTGCCAGCATCAAAAATTTGAGAAATTCCCAGGAAAACTTCATTCTCTGCGTTTAAGATTTAACACTGGGTCGTGCAGGACCAGTCAGGGAGTGCTGAGTGCTTGTGTCCCCCTTAGGTGGCATGATGAGGACACCTAGGTCATTGCAGTTCCCACCTGTGCTAACTGCCTCACCCTTCGATGCTTTCCTCACCGTAGAGCTCCACAAGCTGGTGGTAGGCACCACACTCGGGCCCCTGCTGCAGTTCCTGGAGACAAATGGGCCTTGGCCTGGGTGGGGGTCTCCAGGCAAGACAGCCCCACAACTTTCTGTCCCTGGCAGAGCCTAGCACAAGTCTAAGGAAGGAAGACACCAACAGCACCATGGAGAAGCCACCTGCGGTGAGACTCAGGCAGCCAGAGTGGTGGGAAGAGGCCTGTGAGGTCCCTGCAGCTGGGGAGGTCCTGGGGGACACAGCAGGAAGAACTGCCACTCCCTGGAGCCCATAGCGGGGAGGCCACCCTGTGTAGTCCTGAGATCGAGACTCTGGCAAACTTTCAAGGAAGATCCTCTTAAGTCTACACTGCAGCCAAGGACAATGACCTGCCTGTGTCCCTCCGGGGGTGGGGGTCTTGACGAACACTGGCCCATGGTCAGCATCTCAGACCCTCCGAAGTCATCAGGCCATGGGGCAGCCCAGGACTCATCAGGTCCCTCTGCACACCCAGGGCTGCTGGAGGGCAGCCAAGCCCTGTGGGTGGAGGGGGTGGCCCTGCCAACCGCCTCAGACTCTGATTCTCCTGAGTCTTTTCTTCACTACACCCATCAGCCCACTCACTGTGCCACCCAAGCCGGAGGCCAGAATCTGCACTAATGTATTTATGTCACGGCTCCAACTGGGGGTGTTACTTAATCAAATTAGCAAATTACTCCAACTGCACAGTTCTGTGTTTCTGCAGTTCCTGACTCCTGGGGTTTGGGGTGTGCGGAAAGCTGTCAACACTCCTGTTCCTCCACCCCGCTGAGGAGGGAGACTGAGGCATCTTCCCTCCCAGGGAAGGGTGGTTGAGTGGCAGGGACCAGCTCCTGGACACAAAGCCCTACAGTAGGGCAGGAGCTGCAGCCTCCTGGGATGACAGCCTCATGCATGTCAGGTCTGCCCAATAAGGTGGGTCTCACACAGCCTGCAGGCAGCAGCTGTGTCCTTCTGCAAACACAGGGACCAGCCAGCACATATCCCTGAGCTGAAAGGCAAACCACAAGTACTTCTGTCTGGATATCCACGAGAACTTGCAACTCCCCAGCTGCATGTGACCTCTGCAGACACTTGCGCACCATGAGCCCCCTCTCACAGCTGGGGAAGGTTGGCTGGAGGTTACACAAATCAGTAACAAAGTGGCTAACAATCATCAAGGGCCATGGACATTGATAGACCCTGTGGCAGCACCCTGCATTGTCATGCTGGATTGTCTCTAAGGGGATGGGTACATGGGTGGAGGAGGGTAGGTATGTGGCTGGGTGGATGGACAGATGGACAAATGGAAGGATGGATAGATGCATGGATGAATGGATGGATAGATGCATGAATGGATGGATGGATAGATGCATGGATGGATGGATGGATGGATGGATGGATGGATGGATGGATAGATGCATGGATGGATGGATGGAT